GCTGATCATGATACTTGTTTGGCGATGCCGTTGGGTTCTAGTCCTCTTATTTACTGTTCTATCCCTTGTTGTGGAATGCACTTACTTCTCGGCGGTGCTCTTCAAGGTAAACCAAGGTGGATGGGTACCGCTGGTTATCGCGGCGGCGTTTCTCGTCATCATGTACGTCTGGCACTATGGAACCCTCAAGAGGTATGAGTTTGAAATGCATAGTAAAGTCTCCATGGCTTGGATTCTCGGGCTCGGTCCTAGCCTTGGTCTTGTCCGTGTACCTGGGATTGGCCTTGTTTACACCGAGCTAGCTAGCGGAGTCCCTCACATTTTCTCTCATTTCATCACAAACCTGCCGGCAACTCACTCTGTCGTGATCTTTGTCTGCGTCAAGAACCTTCCCGTCTACACCGTCCCCCAGGAAGAACGGTTCCTTGTAAAAAGGATCGGACCCAAAAACTTCCACATGTTCCGCTGCGTCGCGAGGTACGGATACAGAGACTTGCACAAGAAAGACGACGACTTTGAGAAACGGCTCTTTGAAAGCCTCTTCCTTTTCCTCCGCCTCGAATCAATGATGGAAGGCTGCTCGGATTCCGATGATTACAGCGTCTGCGGAAGCCAACAACGACAGTCCAGAGATGGGGTCACCGGGAATGGGAACGAGAATCGGAACTTGTCGACATTTGATACATTTGATTCTATAGAGTCAGTTATAGCTCCCACTGTAACAAAACGGACAAGCCACACAGTGACGGGGTCTAGCCAGATGAGCGGAGGAGGGGACGAGGTGGAGTTCATAAACGGGTGCAGAGACGCAGGAGTGGTGCACATAATGGGGAACACGGTAGTTCGAGCCAGGAGAGAAGCAAGATTCTACAAGAGGATAGCCATTGATTATGTTTATGCGTTTCTTAGGAAGATTTGTAGAGAAAACAGTGCCATTTTCAATGTTCCTCAGGAGAGCCTTTTAAATGTTGGCCAGATTTTCTATGTGTAATCATGTAAAAAATGTTAGGCATGATTGATTTGATTATATCTTGTTTAAAGAAAATAATTATGGTTAATGACCATATGATATAATACAAATTGAGTCAGATTACACCTAAAAATCAAATGTTGTATTAGCTGCTAATGGCTTTTTTAGTCTTGTTGATTATCAAAAATTGAACCTTGAAGAGCACCGCCGAGAAGTAAGTGCACGACGCTCTATGCTTGTTAGTGAAATCATTTATAGAAAAAAAAAAAATCTTCTTCGAATTTAACAAGGAATTTCTTGACTTTTCATTGAAAAAAAACTTAGTTATTTAATTCTAAAAGATTTAGTATATTTTTTTAATTTTACTATAATTTTTGGTATATTTTAATAATTGTCCCAAACAACATTGAAATCTTCATTTGATTGTATTATTAGTAATTAATCTACTAATTCACAGTAAAGTCACAAAAGCTACATCTTACCAGCTGGTTATAATTAGGAAAAAGGGGATTTTCATACCCGTACTATCTGCACCGTGGATTTTCATACCTGTACAATTTCGTAGGGTATTTTACAACATAAACTTCAATAAAATTTGAATCTCATACCTATACTTGATACAACGGGCAAAAATCGGAGTCAATCTAACGGGGGTTAGTCAACTCCGTTACAGTGCTGAGTCATCGTACACGTGTACGCTGACGTGTTCTCAAAGTTTTAATTTTTTTTTGCAAAATTGGAGACTCGAACCGCGAGCCTTAGTCACATGAGAAGCACCGAATACCAACTGATCCCACAACGTTCATTGAACCCGCGAGCCGTAGTCAATCGTTTTAAGTTGGGAGAAAATGATCAATCTAACGGCTGTTAGTCAACTCCGTTACGGTGCGTTCTTCTTCTCAGAAATTAGGCATGAACAAAATTTTACCATGTGACTACGGCTTCGCACAACTTTTTGGGTTTATAAGTTAAAAAGATTGAGGAATACTCGATGAATGTTGTCGGATCAGTTGGTATTCGGTGCTTCCCATGTGAGTACGACTCGCGTGTTCGAGTCCCCAGTTTTGCAAAAAAAAAAAGAAAACTTTGAGAACACATATCAAAACGACGTCGTTTCGATACGCACCGTAACAGAGTTGACTAACACCCGTTACATTGACTCCAATTTTTGCACGTTGTATCAAGTATAGGGTATGAGATTCAAATTTTATTAAACACTACAAGAAATATTAGCATTGATAGCACATGACGATAGCGCATTTTTCGTCACTGCTATTAAAGATGGTACTCAAAGTTCGGTAACTATATCATAGCATTTCAAAAATACTAAGACTAACAATAGCAGAATGAAAAACTAAAATCACTTTGAACCGGCGCACTTAGCAAAATTTTTATGTTTAGCGCTCCACCAAATTAAAAAAAAAATCCATTTGTTGCCAAACAAAACCTAATTTTTCTCATATTTGCCTCATTATCTTCTCCTCATACCTCTTCGTTCTCTTCGAGACCTTTAATTTTTTATAAAGTAACGCTCTCTCATTTTTTTTTTGTCTCACCTTCAACCCTAAATCCCCTTTCTCCATCTCCAAAAAAACAACAGATCTAAAAAAACACAGATCTTCCACTTATCCATACTTTGAAGATCCTCTTCTCCTCATCGTCTTTCTCCATCTCCAAATTGTCGCCGCGTCATCAATCTTCCATATCTGAGAACGACCGATGGTACTAGATCCGCCGGGGGTCAAAATTTCTCCGATTTGGTCTGGTTCGAGCTCAAGTATCCTTCATCCTGAATCGGGTCCGTTGGTTTCTCCATCTATAGACTTGGCTGGTTTGTTGTGGTTCGAGCTATGGCGAAGTCTCAAACAGATCAGAGGAATAAGGTTACTTTTCTGCAATTTCAAATTCATGATTCAATTTCAATTAGAAATTAATTTTTTGTTTGTCTTTTTTTGGATAGAGAGGGAGAAAGAAAGAGTCTTGGTTTGATGAATCCTCTAAAAAAAATTCGTTTCCAAATCCTTCTTCTTCGTCATCTCCGTGGGCATTTGCGTTCCACATTTTTTCTTGTTACTTCTTCATGTCTAGCTTCTTGTTCTTCTTCGTATTCGTGAGTCTCTTTCAAATCTCTCTATCATTATCAGTTTTCAACTTCTGGGTTTAGGTAGCTTCTTCATCATTAAAATGTTGTTTCATGATAATAAAAAGTCAAGTCCGAGTTCGTTTCTATCTCTAGTTATAATCGTTACTGATGTGAAAGTTTCTTATACTCATATGAGTTACAGCTTACTGTGAATTTGTGATGGTGAAGAGACTTGAAGGTGCTAAAACGGTGATGACGAGTGAAGAAGCGAGTGATGGTAGATGTATCAAAGATTGTCGCCAAAGCAAGAAGCTGCTTGTTCGCATCAAGCAAACTCAAGTAAGTTTTTAGTTTAGAATGGAATATAAATGTAATTGATAATTTTATTGCTTCGACGCTTTTGTTTTGATAACATTTCCCGTAGGTGATTGATTCATCTAAGATATATCTTCTTATAATTGATGGGGTTGAGAATGATGACGAGTCTAACGGGCAAAAAGAGTTTTATCATGACCAGGTGAGATTTTCTAATTTACCATGCTCGAGTCTTCTGAATCGTAATGTTCATTGAGAATGATGACGATTCTAATGGGCAAGAAGAGTATGTGATATCATTGAAGGAAAGGTATGTGAATCAACTGACTCTATCATCAGTATCTTGAAATGTTGGTGATGGTTATGACTAACATTTCTCTCTTTCTTTAATTGGAGCGTCATCTTGTGCTTGGTGTGATTTCGTGAGGCTATAATGCTGCTACTGCTATTTGTTTTTGGTAATGGTGAATGTGTAAATAATCTTTATTATTGTTGTTCTGTCTAGATACAGTTGCTAGCAGACTTAAACTTGAAGAAAACTCCCAGCTGGTGGAGTTGGTTGCTGATAGCAATATAAAATTACTCACTCATAGTGAAAATTTTGACTTTGTTTTGAGCACAAGGTACGACTGTTTGTTGCTTCTTTAATGTCCAATTTATTATACATGATGGGAATAATCTCTATGATTTCATTTACTTTGAGAATGTTGCTTATGCCCATGTTTGTGTTGAGCTTGCTCTAGCTTTAGGAGGATATGTTTCAACAAAAGCTGCAGGACATGCCTTAGTATTCTAAAGTGGAGTTTTGTCTCAGTTTCACAAAACTGTAGATAGCATATTTTTTTGAATTGAATGGTAAGGTTCTTCTTCTTGTACTAACGTTGCAGGAGCTTATAGTGTCATTCGGGCTATTCGAGATTGAAGAGCATGTTGGGAGTGAAGAAGAATGTCATTCAGGCTATTCAAGAAGCTTGAAGAACTTGTTAGGAGTGAAGAACATGATTCCTAGTTGTATAGTTAGTCTAAGACTTGGTTTGATATAACTTGGATGGTATGTTCAAACCCTTATGATTAGTATTCTTGTTGTGAAGAGTAGTGCTAAAGTAGTATATAGAAGTGTGGATATTAGTTTAACTATTGGATTGAGACTTACGTTGTATGAATTGATGTTTGGTTTATGAAATGATGTTATATCTTTTGGATGTTTATATATATATATATTAAATAGCTTAAAACAACTGCATAAAATAAGAGTCATAACACTGAATATTATAGCATTGTAAAAACAATATATCATAACCTATATACATTGCCATTATAAGTCGATATATCAAAGCTTTTTACTAATGCTATGGTAGAATACTCTATCATAGCATACGACAAAAACGTTATCGTATGTGGGGGGTCTACAATAACAGGGGCATAAGACAGCGTTTATGAAAACGCTATTGATGACATATAATAGCTCTTCTCTCTTGCTAATAATGTAGATATTTCTTGTAGTGAAAGTTTAGGTTGTAAAATACCCTACAAAATTGTCCAGGTATGAAAATCCACGGCGCAGACAGTACGTGTATGAAAACGACGTCGTTTTGATACACGTCAACGTACACGTGTACGATGACTCAGCACCGTAACAGAGTTGACTAACACCCGTTAGATTGACTCCGATTTTTGCACGTTCTATCAAGTATATGTATGAGATTCAAATTTTATTGAAGTTTAAGTTGTAAAATACCCTACGAAATTGTCCAGGTATGAAAATCCACGGTGCAGATAGTACGGGTATGAAAATCCCCTTTTCCCGTTATAATTACGTTCACGGTGCCTTGGAAAATGATACTCACTAGTCACTTATTTCTACAGTTCCACTTGGCGAAGAAAAAAAATAGATAATGCATATAGAGACGCATCTTTAGTGTTTACGTTTACAGTTTAACAAATAAATTTTACTTAGAACGGTTAAACTTGTGGGTTCATCACTCAAGAAAAAAATGTTAACACAAATGCAAACAATCGGGGATATATTTAGTCTATAGATTGAGATATTTCACATGACAATGACCGATCATGTTATAAAACGATACACATGCATGCATGAGTCCAGAATACATATAAACGATACTAAGCGAAAGAGATTTGACTTAAGATTATATTCGAAATATGATGATCACTAAGAAAACAGAAGCTAACAATTGTCCCACCGTCAACAGCGGCCGCGGTCTATAGAGTCGCTGCCTCTGAAACAGATGTTACTGCTACTTCAAGCAAAGTGGAGAGTGGTCAAGTGGATTGTATTTCTATTTGTTTTGACATTTTTGCTGTCTCTAGTTGTTTACCATTTCGCATCACTTGTTCAGCCACTGTCTCTACCGCTACATCAAATTTCAAGTTTTTCAGCGTTTGTGCCGCCGCTGATTGCAGCCAAACAAACTTCTAACAATATTGATAACGTTTGTAACCTAACTTTTTGGTCTATACATTTATCGTATATTTTGGAAGCATAATATATATCAATCAAGTTTACGTATATTATATATCTATGCATGAAAAAAATACTAGAGATATATCTAATTTTGAATTATTTACGCAAGCAGTCTTAGAGAAATAGTCTTAAAATATACAAATGAAGGATTTTCTGTTGAATTGAAATACTACTTGAACCATTTTCAGTCAAATCTAAATTTTTGTTTGGATGATAGATGAAGACAGAAGATAGGAGAAATCGGGCTCGCTGAATCTAAAAAGAGTTGTTGTTGGGTTAGCTACTACATATATAGCCTACTAGTGAAATATGAATACTTTTGTGGAAGAGACAAAGTTCGAATTTAACGAAGCCTTTCAAAATATAATTTCCCTTTACTGTCGTCATTGTGTTAAATTTGAAGTTTAATGTTAAACCACACGACGAACTTTATCTACAGATGACCAAAAGATGATAATAAGAAAAAACAATTCGAGAAAATAGGTTTGACCTTTCAAAGTGACTTGACATTCAATACTCGAGTGGTTTCAGAAACAACTTTTTATGATTCTCAGATTCTTAATGAGATGAAGTGCAACAAGTTGTGAATATGGTTCTGAATGGAAGCACGGACCAAAGGCGGTTTAATGGTGTTGCGAGTGAACCACATATTATTCTTCCATTCATGACTCTTGAATAAAGTGAAAAGCATTTCTCCTTTTTAATATTAAAAAATTGTTGAACCGCTTATGGTTTTTAATATATGCTTTGTCTTACATTGGCCGATGAAGCGTTTCTATTACTTTGGCTCCGAATGGAGAAAGCGTATCGGACGGAGCAGATCAAGCCGTTCAAGCGTATCAAACAGAACAAAAACGGATCAAGCGGATCTGGCGGAACAAAAGCGGATCAAGCAAATTTGGCGGTCTAAAATATTTGTGAATAGTAAAAGCGGAGCAAGTGATGCGGTTCAAACAATATTTTTTAGATAAAACATTTATTAAACAATAATTACATAGTATTATAAATTAGAGAAATTGTTAAAAATGACTTTTTTCAATACTCCTTTTCAAAAATGCCCCCTTTGAGAGTCCATTTTTAAGTTTGCCCTCTTTTAATTTTTAATGACCATTTTACCCTTATTTGAAACAAAATTAGGTCCACAAAATACAAAATATTTTTTGGCGGGAAAAGTGATCCGGCAATTTTTCCGCTAAAACACTTGTAAAAACTTGTAAAACCTTTAAAATACCTTGTAAAATTTTTCCCGCCAAAATTTTTTTTTGCGGGAAAAGTGATTCCGCAATTTTTTTGGCGGGAAAGTTTATGGCGGAAAAAATTTACAAGGTATTTTAAAGGTTTTACAGAAAATTAATTTACAAGTGTTTTGTAAGGTTTTAAAATGTATTTTAAAAGGTTTTACAAGGTATTTATAAGGTTTTATAAGGTATTTATAACTTGTAAAACCTTATAAAAAACTTGTAAAACTTTATAACTTGTAAAACCTTATAAAATAGCTTGTAAAATCTTATAATATCTTATAAATACCTTATAAATACGTTGTAAACCCTTTTAAAATACAGTGTAAAACCTTATAAATACCCTATAAAAAACCTTTAAAATACCTTGTAAATTTTTCCCGCCAAAAATTTTCCCACCAAAAATTTAACACCAAAAAAATTGCGAAATCACTTTTTCCGCAAAAAATTTTTTTTGGCGGGAAAAATTTTTACGGGAAAATTTTACAAGGTATTTTAAAGGTTTTACAAGTTTTTACAAAATCAAATTTGTAATTTTGATGTGTGCACATTCTCATGTTTTCCTTATATATTTGTGATATCTTTTATTAAAAAAGGGTAATTTAGTCATTTTGTACATAAAAGGGGTATTTTTAAAAATGGACAGCCAAATGGGGCATTTTTGATAAGGGTTATTGAAAAAGGTGCATTTTTGTGAGTCTCCCAATTAAATTATGTTAAATATGTACTCATGATTATGAACAAAAATTAATTAAGAATCTATAAAAATTTAATTTGCAAATCCATATAATTTATCTTTAGTACTACGCCATCCGTTCCTTTTTAGTTGATGTTTTAGGAAAAAGAAATTTGTTCTAAATTAGATGATGTTTTAAGTTTTTATTGCAATATTAATTAATTTTTTTATTAGTTTTGATATTTATATTTGTAAATTTGTTTTCTACTGACTGGATAGATGATATATGATGTTTTAGTTTAGATATAAATAAAAATTAAATGTTTCCTTAATCGGTGTGCAAAAACTTTAAACATCAAGTAAAAAAGAACGGAATGAGTAGTAATTTGAAAATATCATACATAAATGATACTAGTAAAACTATAAATTATGTGTTTTATAACTGATTACTAACATAATATATGTATAATAGATATTACAAATTATTAGCTAGCATACAAATATTAATGCGATAACTTAAGAACAATGAAAACAGTAAACAATAATATTAAATATCTTGATGTATTTAACGGAATAAATTAATTTTTAATTTTGGTGTACTTATGTCAACAAGAAGAAAAACAATAATTATTATATACAAATAAATCATTAATATAATTAAAAGATGTAACATAAAATTTGGATAGTCCAAACAATATTTATGAATATATTGTAGTCTAGATAAAAAATCGCACAGTTATTTATATGTTTTATTTTTTGGAAAAAAAAAAGAATAAAAAAATAAACTTAAATAAAAGAAAAAGCAAATCTCACACTAATCCACCACTATTTGGGTAAGGACGAACCGTCCCGCTAACTGGAAAAAAAGTATGAGCAAACAAAAAAAAATATTCCTTTTTTTATTTTATATGGTTCAAAAGGAGATGATTTTCTAATTGTTAACTTTTGTCTGTCTCAATGAGAACACAAGTATAAATCATCCTCTTCCTCTAATGAACTGCCTTTGTTCTGTTTTCCCATTCAAGGCCTTTGGCTTCGAATGGAAGAGTGGAGGAGATGCGGTTTAGTGACGGTACGGATGTACCACATAATTATTTTCCATTCATGATAATTTCCATCAAATAGAAACGTTTCTTTCTTTTTAATAATAAACAATTGTTGAACCGCATGTGGTTCATTTTTATGAAGCAAAATTTGAGATCCACTATAAAAAGTGGGAACGCATGAATTACACAGCGGTTATCTGGTTTTATAGTGGTTCTCCTGTTTTCTTTTAATAAATGTCAAAAATATTTAAAAGAAAATGTAACACATATGGTTGAAGTAATACATCACATATCATTTGGATAATAGATTAGGTTTTTGTTATTAGAAAATTACATGTCAAAAAAGATGTAAAATAATTTAATAATTTTTAGGTATAATTTAGGGGCCGGTGCAAAAGAATCATCAAACTCGCTAATTTTTTCAACTTTACCATTTACTTCTAAAAATACAGATTAATCATAAAAATTAAAAAATAATACGCAATATAACTTTTATATGTATATTGTAAACGTTTGCACAGTTACATATATTAGACTTTTAAAATTCTAAAGGTAGAGTTAAACTAGTCGTTGCGAGGATTTCGATTTGACATATTATTAATTAAAATTTTACAAACTTGACGGTAGCGAAATAGGGTTACATTGCGTATTATTTTTGACTTTGTATATGATTAATTTTATTTTTAAGTGAAAAGTAAAGTTGCAAAAATTGGCGAGTTGGAGTTTTTATTTGCACAAACCCTACAATTTA